ATCGTATGTATGTGTCGTATGTATGAATCATACGCACGGTCTGATATCCTACGGACAACATATCTTGTCTCAAAATATAATTTTTGGGATACAGTAGTATTTTCATCATGTGCACCATATCATGTATCCTCTGTTGCCTGGGAAAAAAACATTTGTGTTGAAAAAAAAGAGTACTGCGCCACTCCTGATACTATCTTCTTTTCCAATTTTGCTTCATGTCAATTCACTTCCCTGTGCCAAGAAGCCAGTTACCAGCACAACACTGTAGTAACTAAGTTGTCATGGGGCGATCACCCAAGCTAAGAGTGTACTGTCAATGGTGTTACAAAAAGGAGGAACATAACAAAAAATTGAACAAAAAATGCAAGAGACCCAAACTTTATTCTGGCACTAGAAGGCAAAATGATGGCATTGCTTGCTTGGGCCATAAATTCTGTCTGATGAACACCCAAAATGGCCCAGGTGGTTCTGCTTTGCCCAAAAATCTTGATTCGCAGGTTATGTTTGGCCCAACCTGTCAAAGAGATTGACCATGACTCCTTAGAGGATGAGATCGAGAATGCTATTTCCTCCTTTGAACCTTCCTCCCCCTCCTCCATTGTTGATGATTCCAAGAATACACATGAAAGAGTCATCGATAGCAATGAACGCCACACACATTGTCAACGCAGAAGCTTGTTATTTGGCAGGAAATGTACCCAATGGGTTTCCAGGTCATGTGTTGATACAAAGCATTGAGGAGACTGGAGAATATGGTCAGACTCGAGAAAGATATGTCCTGCACAAAGACTAAAGAAGGGATTGTAGCAAGGTCTTCCATTTGTTTGTGAAGCGTATTGTAGGAGCCATTGGACCGAAGGATCAAGAGTTCAAGAAAAAGATATACAGGAACAAGTTAACAAGCAAGTTTTGTAGAGTGAACAACGAGCCATTTGCATTGGTGCTTTTGTTCAATGAATATGACTTGTGGACAAAACCAAACAATAGTAGCATGAAAAAACAGAGAAAAAGAAAAAGATTTACCGACAGCGCATTGGGGAGAAAGGAGGGGTGGAGTATCGAAGGAAGAACATTGTTGTGTGACATTTGCGTTGAGATATGCAAACGACGGGAGGAAGGTGTTTCAAAAGACGTGGAAAATGAGTTGGGGCAGGCTTTTGTGGAGGATGGAGGAAGGAACTCTGAAAAGCATGAAGAGATGGAAAATAGAAGAGCACAAGAAAGAAGGAGAGAATCAGAGTTCAACATGGACGACCAATTGATAAAAACAGCACCATTTATATGATGATGTGCTCTTCTAATGACTGAATGAGGAAAAGAAGGAAGCAAAAAATTAAAAAACAATAAAAAGGAATTATAATGATCATACCAGAGAGTTTTGAAAAATGGGAATAACATATCGTGACAAGAGATATAAACTAAATTAGAAAGATGATAGGAATTTTGATTGAAAGATAATCGAAAATAATAATTCAAAACCAGATATTCTGTGTTAGAGCTAAAGACATTTCAACTGATCGAACCGGGATTTTGTAACATAGATAAAAAATTAAAAATTGAGTAGATGAAAGTCAAGAATGAGGGGAAACAAAATTAGTTGATCAATTACAAAGTTTTGATAATGAGATGAAATTATTAGCTCAGAAATAAAATATTTTGAATCGGGGATGAAACAGGGCTAGCTACCTGGGGTGGGGAATGTAAGGCGTGGTGACATTGTTGTGCGTTTTGTGGGGGGAGAAATTTGCAGAACCGTGTAACAAAATGCATAAGAAAATTTTGTTCGTGTGTTACAAGAAAATATTACTGGGATGAAAGCACTTCTTTATGTGATGTTTTCTTTCCCAAGGTGTCAAATCTTGTAAGTGTTGTCACCACCAACACCAAGTGACTCCTCCATTGCACACTGTAGTGACAAAAAAACCTTGTTTAGAGTCTCGTGTTTGGATTCTTCAAATGCAGCAATCACATTGGCAATCAATGTGTCCATATTACTTGCTAGAAGACCACCACTTCTTGTGCTGAAGGCTCTGGATAGAATTGAAGAATCCCAAATCAAGAACATTAAAGTCAGGACTGTTAAGTGGTTCTTAGGGCTTCACAACAATATTCCAGTTCCTCTTGCAAGCTGCAGCTGTCGCAGCTGCTCTGTTGTTGAGTGTATGAAGCTTAGCATTGTCTTCTTGGATGACACAACTTGGAACATGATCTCCGTTGCCCCTGGTGGGGAACTTCTTGTAAATGGCTGGTACAACTTTTTTGATCATGAGGTTCCTGTACACTTCTTCATTCTTGACATTAATAGGGTGGGGTTCTATGCTACCTATTGGGCCATTTACAGAAAACCTCTGCGCTGGTCTGTACTCCACAATAGGCCAAATACCAAGCTTCTTACCACGAAACCAAGCATTCCTACTGGTATCAAATCTGGGACTTGCTGTTGCACAAAGAAACATCACCTTCTTGATATGCTGCTTTGACGGTGTCTTGTCAACTGGTTGAAGCTCTTCATCAAGTAGATACATGTTGCTTGTTACTTCCTTCATGAATCATTTCTCATCAACATTTACTACTACCTTGCCATATATTGGATCAAAGACACCATTGTTATCAATATGAGAGACAGAGCAAATTCAATCCTTTCCATTTTGTTTGCTTCTTTTAGGAAAGGCTTCAACAACGTACAGCTGTATCTCATGATTGCTCCATGTCAAACAAGACCATGCAATTTAGAATGGGGGATGTTCAATGCTGCTGACAGCGTCCTCAGATCTCCTTTTCATTTGTATGGAATGTCCCTCATACCGTCAAAATCTGAGATAGACCTAGGCTTCCTACCACACTTGGACCTATTGCTCGACACATCACCTGCAGGGCATGTTTCATCATCCTGAGTTTCTAAATAACATTTCCAAATTCTTGCACAAGTCCTACTAGGAGAAACTTTGAATGCTGCAGCAGTATTCTTGTAAGCACACTTAGCAAGTTTGCCACTCTGTATCTGATGTGGAAGCAGTCTGTGTAGAATAACCTGTCTTTGATTGTTGGCCAAGTTGATAAGGCGCTGTTGTGTTGGAGGAGGAGTAACAGTCACAGGAGGAGGAGGCAGCAACTCACTTGGTTCAAGGAGACTTATTGCAAGATCTATTTGTTTCTATTCCTGTAGCCATCTTGGTGTGGTGTGTTTGCTTTAGAAAAGAGCAGCATTCAATAAAGTGAGTGAATGAAAGTATGGGGGAAAAAGCAGCAAAAGCAACATATGCAACAAAGATATCATACTAGCAGGTTGATTGTCGTTGTTGTCCGTCGCTTCCCCCCTGTTAGTAGTGGATTGCTTCCTCCCTCTTAGTGGAAGCGCAAGGCAAGTCAGTGGATTGCTTCCCCCACTTAGTAGTAGAAACAACAACAACAACAGAGTCGGTCCGTGCTTCCCCCCTATTAGTGGAGGAAGCAACGTAGACATGAGGCAGGTCATAGGGAAGCAATGGAGACGCAAGGCAAGTCAGTTCTTTGCTTCCCCCCTCTTAGTGGAAGCAACGGAGACGTGGACCGGTTGATGAATCCCCTATTAGCAGAAGCAACAGAGATGCAAGTCATTCTTGTTGGGGCTCAACGGAGATTCACTCCCCCCAAGGAAGGGAATTGATTGGCTGAGAGATTTAGAAGAAATAGTACTAGCACTAAGCAGCACTGAGCGTTTTACAACCTGTCGCTCCGTATCCAGCAGCTCCCCTTAGTACTAGTAGCTAGTGTTAGTGAAAGATCAGTGTTTGAGAGATGTCAAGTGCTTTAGACATCTTGTGTCACTGTGGATTGTGGATTTGAGAAGGTCGGAGTATCTATATCACGGTATGGTTAATTCATTCTATTCTCTATTCACTTCTTCGTTACCTGCCCGCCACTTTGTTCGTTCCAGTTGACTGCATATTTACCCACCATCGCTATGGCTATTTTCTTCGTCTTCTTCCAGCGATGGTGGAATATCAGCAGCCACCGTTCCGATTGCCAGCGTCCCAATGAACCCTTCAATACTTACCCACGGATGGTGCTTAGCAAAGGCTTTTGTCCCATCTGCTCCCAATAAGTTCGTTTTCGTAAAAATCTCGATGCCACCAGGGTGGTACGGCAGATACGGACCGATATCATAAACAATCCCGTTTAGAACCATCCATCCATCGTGGACCTTGTTGTGCCTGGAAATCTCCTCCCATGGAATATCCTTCCGGAAGTTCGTGTTCGGTTTCCTCGAGCGCACCAGCCGCTGCCATTGGAGGAGCCCGAATTTCGGACCCTGGGTTCGTCCGTTGAAGACTGCCTCTTTTTTTGATCGTCGCTTGGATTCGGCGGGCAATGTGGATGGTTTTGAGGTGCCCGATAATGACGCAGAAGGCTTGTTGCCGCTGGTCTCATCCTCTTCCTCGTACGGCGCTATTATGTTCACCATTTTTGGATGGATGGATGGATGGGTGGGTTGAGGAATATCGGTTTCAATTCCGTTTTCTAACTTTCGCTTTCCAGCAGCAATGTTATGTCGCCTGCTGGGATGCTTGTTGCCGCTCACTGTATCGCTCCTTGTCAAGCACGATGTTCCCACGGTGCGATGTATGATAAGGTGCTGTACTTCCAAAAGGCCATTTCTAATTTCTTGTCTTCGTCATAATACTGTGGAAGAATCAATCGTGTACCGGTGCGTACGTATCGTACAACCGAGAAGTAATCTATTTTACATGATGTACCGGTAGTACAGTGTGGGTACGAATACCGTACAGGACACAAGATTGTTATTTTCCACTACTTCTTACCGAAGGGAAATACCGAAGGGAAATCGGGGATGGAACTGGAAAAGTGGGGGTACGTACGTACGAAGTAAAGTAATTACTGTACGAAGTAAGTTACCTGTATTTATTTCTTATCATTGCTGTACGTACGGTACTAGAGGACAATATTATTATTTGGGGGTGGGTCGGTTTTTTCCTGAAATGGGATTTTTCTTCTGGACGAATACAATCTTGTTGATACTTTTATCATTTAGGTTCACTGCCGCCACTTGATCAGGACTGTATCATTCGGTTCGATGGTGTAGTCCTTCCCCTCAGTTCTCACCGATCCCGCTTCTCTGGCTTCACGAAAGCTGTCGAACCGAAGGAGTTCGTCCGCCTTGATCACTTCGGCGCGGACAAATCCCTTCTGGAGGTCACCATGTATACGCCCACCCAAACCAAACACCGTCATCCCCGAAGACGCGCTGCCCATTTCTTGGTCTGCTTCATTTTGGTCGTTGCTGTTGTTCGAGGAAAACAAGTACGACTTAGTGGTTTGGGATCGTTCCGACGGAACCCCCGGCCCCGTGTAGCATAAGGAAAGCGATAGGAGTCGACACACGAGGATCGGAAGCACTCTGTAGCTCAAAAGATCCTGGTAGTGCCATTCTAGCGGCGTATCGTTAGCATCGTGGCCGACTGTTGTTGTTGTACTCATGCTCATCAGTTCCGAAATGTATTCGTCCTGGTCTTCCGATTCTCCGAGCGATAACAGGTCTTCTTCTACCTTTGCACTGACCAGCACAAAATCGTCCTGATGTTGAGGGGCACTGCTTGCCCCGGAAGCATCACAGTTGTTATTTTTCCGTATCTGGGGCATGAACTCCCTCCGGATGGTTTCGGTCACGGACCCCCGGTTTGCGGTAAAATCCAATTCGTCGACGTTAAAGGCGTAGATGACAGGCTTCAGGGTCAGAAGCCCCATGGACTTGATGGCAAATTCCTCGTCTCGGGAAAGCCCCGCGAGTCGCACCGGGATGGAATCTCGGAGAGCTAAAAGCGCCTTGGTCAGGGCTTGCTTCTCGGGGGTCTCGTCCTTGATGCGGCCCAGCCGTCGCTCGACGTGAGCTAGATCGGCCAGGAGCAATTCGTTGTCGACGATGGCCGCGTCAAAGACCGGGTCGACGACGACGGTGGCGCGATCGCTCCCATCCGTGGAAGAGGCTTCTATCGATTCGTGCCGCATCACATCACCGTCCTTAAAGTACCGCAGCACGTGCACAATGATCTGGCACTCTCGGATTGCCGCCAGGAACTGGTTCCCGAGCCCCTCCCCGCGGGAGGCTCCTTTCACCAGGCCAGCCACGTCGACCAGCTCGATCCTCGCCGGCCGGAGGGTGCCTCCGTCCGGAACGACCACGAACCGCTTCGAGAGCTCCTCCAGATACGGGTCCGGGATCGGCACCGGGGACTTCTGGGGATCGATCGTGCAAAAGGGAAAGTTGGCGGCCCGGGCCAGATCGGCGGTGCGGGCCACGGCGTTGAACAGCGTAGATTTTCCGACGTTGGGCAATCCAACGAGCCCCACTCTGGGGGTGGCCATTCCCAGAACACTGGAAATTCGGTATCGCGATCCTTTTGTTGTCGTTACCTTCCACGGTGCGCTGTATGGTTTTCTCTTCCAAGGACGCAACGGTAAATGCCATGGATTCGTAGCGGTAGTTTGATCGTAGCTCCTGTCTACTCCTACAGCACTCGAAGGAGTGGAAAAGGCACCGCATCTGGTGGTAGCTACGGTGACGAAAAAAATTGCTGCAGCGCTTATCATTCGGGAAAACGCCACTAAGAATCCCATACCGAGGCCTCGAGACGAGGAACAGCGGCTCCTCAAGACGATACTGGAGCTGCGGCTTGATAACATTCCTTTGATTTTACCTTCGGAGGTGTCATATGCTGTGACGTGATGCGAGTTAATATGGTGCGGTGCAATGCGATGCGATACTACTCTCACTCGGTGCGTTCCCATTCCTTGTAGCGTTGATTCCTTTCATCGTTTTGTATGCAATCCATCGTTGTGGTTCAATTGAAGGTTTGCCAAGTCTTCACAAGTCTTGATCACGCACAACTTACTGGGCTATTCAAGACKAAGCAAAAATAATGTGCTTCGATAATTGCAGTATTCGTCTAACGTACCGTACGGTACCAGGTACGAGTACTCGTGCCGAAAAGGACAAGCCCGCAGTAAGGAAAGCAGAAATTCAGGGGAGGAGCAACTATYGGGGAACAACTTCAGTCGTGAACGTAGCTCCGACTTTAGTACACGTTTGGAATTTGGATTTCAGGTTATTTGGATTTCAGTTTCCAGCGCATTGGTGCGCACGGAATGCGTCATCKGCGGCTTTGCTACATAAGCCATACTGATGTGTTTGTAGTCACGCATGTTCATGTTTCAAGAGACGAGTACGGTACGTGTACGACCCGTACGAGTGCAAAATGAACCGTGCGAATACCGGTATGACCGCTCTGCAACGGAAAACGTTCCATTRTTTTTTTCAAGCGTTCAAGCAGTCGAACTCGTAGCGTACGTGCGTACGTACGTACTCGCAGTACGATACTCGAACGAGTATGGCACGTAGTACCCGTGTAAACAGGGTTTTCGAAAGAGCGAGCAAACTGTAATCGTAACCCATCACATCAAGCTAATGAAAGATCGTCATAGTTCTACACCCCGGACGCACAGATCCATCCGGATAACTTCTTTCTTCGACAGCACCGAATCGTTTTCATTGACTCCAATGAAAATCCTGAGTGCACGAGGGGGAAATCGCAGGTCTACAAGCAAATAAATCGCTCCCAAACAGAAACACACGGTATTTTTCTTTCGGAACAATGTCTCCGTCTCCGCCGTCCCYATCACCGACCTTGACCACACACAGAGCACTCGAGTTCCTCCTGAACCTAACGAAATATGCGGGTCAGAGAAAGGTTCCGATTCTAGAGTGGCTGCTGGCGTGGACCACGGTGGTGGTCTTTGGCATCCGCTACCTAATCGATTATGCCAGGCTGCGATGGAACCTTCACTCGCTGGCTTCCGAGGCATCGTCCCCCTCGTCCTCCAACCAAAGGCTCTGCGACCGCATCTCGCTCTGCCCACTGGCGCACACGGAGGATCAGCTAGCGGTGACTGCGGAAGAACGATGGGAAAGGCTCCGTCAAGCCCTTCTGCGGTCCCCTCTCTCCTCCGCCCTGGTGGACAACGGCGATTCGGGCAGCATCGATGCCAGTACCGAGTGCAGCAGTGGCAACGATAGCGCTTCCATCAGCACACTCGGAGGAAGCAGTGTGATCGAGGGCGCTGCGAGGAAATCGCACAGAAAGAAGAAACCCAAGGCGGCATCGCTGATTGTGCAAATGACAAAGGAATGGACCGACGACGACTGGATTACGATCGTTYGGTCGGACCTCGACGTCCGGAGAGAGGCATCGTACCTGATGCACACACTGTCCAAATCTCTGTCGTCTCCGCGGAAAAACGGGCTYGGTGCTCTGGTCGTTTTGTCGAAACTCCGTCGGCTATGGCCGCAATTCCTCCAGCTCCCCGAGTCGATTCTGGAACAAAGCAGCAGCAGCAGCAGCGACAACGAGCACGATCTTTCGCTGATTGTTCCGATGTACAAGGAAAAGGTGACCGACATTAGCTATACCCTAAACAAGGCATTCGATAACTGCAGCGGTGATCCAAAGCGAATCCAGGTCGTTGTGGTGCACGTACAGAGCAGCCCCACCGACGAAAACGACGACGATGGCAATTCTCTGCTGCGACAGCAGCTCCTTCAACAGGAGCAGCAGCAAAAGGAGCCGCCRCAGCCCAGTGAAAACAATTCAAACGAAGACGAGCSGCCATCACTCACCTCCTCCTGGGGGGAACTGAAGGTGGTCACGATTCCTTACGGACAAGGTGGTGGCAGGGGGAAAACCCTTAACGTGGGAGCCAAACACGCYACAGCCYCCATATTGACATTTTTACACGCYGATACGATGGTCCCCGCGGGATGGGATGAACAAATAAAGAAGGCACTAACGTGGAACAACAATATCAGCAGTTCCAATGGCAGCGGTAGAGACAACGGCAATTCTTTCTTCCCCCATGCGTGTGCCTTTACCATGGCCATCGACGTCGACAGCTACAAAACCAACGGCGCTTCATCCCCCCTATCGAGCCACCACCGCAAGGAGCCRGCAGGGTTGCTGGGAGCAGAATGGCTTGGTGTCCTACGGTGCCACTGTGGGCTGCCCTACGGGGACAGCGTCTTGTCCTTTGGCCGGCCYATGTTTGATTACATGGGGGGATACCCGGAKCAGCCGCTAATGGAAGACTACGAGGCCATGGACTGGCTGCGCCTGAGAAGTGTCCTCTTGTCCACCATTCACAAAAACGAAGACCGAAAARCCACCSCTGCAAGCAATCCAGTGAGCAGCAAGAATGRGCTGGGGGCGGAAGGCCTCGTCTTGCTAAGAGATCGGGCCAGGTGTTCCCCCCGGCGATGGGAAAAGTACGGAGTTGCATATACGAGTCTGGTCAATGCCATGTGCATTTTTCGGTACAACAGCAACGCTACGGCCGAGGATCTGTTTGACTTTTACTACCACTGCAATAAACAACCACAAAAGTGACAAACACAAAATGGGTTTCAAGCAGCACATCGCCAATCGTTGAAGTAACGCTTAATTTCTACTTTATTCATAAATACATTTTGTTCTTGCTAGTGGGAAACAAAGKTGCTCTCCTAGACGCTTTCAATGCATACTACTGATTTCGTTTCTATCTATTTCAATGTATCTATCTGATCAAATCATGGATGGGTTGATTACTTCGTAAGTAGTCCCGGATTTGCTTTGGTTTTCCCCCTCTGGCTTTGAGTTCAAGGAGTTTTCTTCCTCCAGTATAGCTGYGGAACGTTTTTGGTACGCGGGMGGGGMTGTTTTTGGTAGGTTAGTGKTTAACGTTCGGCGCTTTGTCACAGAGACTGCCAACGCATCATCGATCGCGGAGCTTTTTCCCATATTATTACTYGTGCTACCTGTGGCAATTTTGGTAGTGGATGCGGATGCACTCGAAAGAGCGGCTAAGCTCATGGTTCGTTTCCCATTGGSTTGTTTCGGTGCAGGGTCTTTTGTTGCCTTGGTTTTCCATTCGGAGCGAGGTACTTCGAACTCTTGCGTTGCTGAATTGCGATTGATATTTTGTGTTACTGTTATTGGATTAATAGAAAARTCCTCGTCTAGTTCATCGAGGGAATCGTCACTGCCAGCTTCTTTGTGCTCTTCAAACGATTCAGGTGCTGTTGCACCGGCCGTCTTCCTCCGCCRYGGCTGCGGATGGCTTGATTCCAGGGGAGACAGYCCCAATACACTTCGAAGTCGTTTGGATTGAATCTTGGCAAATTTGATGCCATCCTCGTAGCGCATAAATGAATCAATTCGTGTCTGTCTCATTGATTTATCTTCCATTCGTCGGATAATCGGATCAATGACTTTCTTTGTCTCATCATCAGTCCAACCCATGTGACTATGGCAAAAGGTCACAAGACCATCGAGATCCGGAATACCCCAAGAGAACTGCTCCCTCGACGTATCTACCACCGGGTGCAAGTATGCATTCAGAACCTTGGGATCGGGAAAGTGCTTCGGAGCGATCCATCGATTGCGAGCTGTATGGTGCTTTTTGTGGAAGCTTTTYTCCTTTTCGGTACTAGCACCGGTGATGTTTGTCGCGCTGTTATTGTTCTTCGCCGAATAAAGAGGGTCGAATCCATCCAGCCATTTACGAAAACGCGTCAATCCGGCTTTGCAGTCTTGTGCTACATCAAATGCTTGCAAAATTTCCATTCCGTTCACGATCCCAACACCTTTCACACCTTCTGTGTAGTCTCCACCAAGTAGCATAGCCAGGGCAACTAGTGCGTCCTGATTTAAATTCATTTCCTCGCTAGCGTCCTTGGCGTGATAGACTTCTACAAACTTCTTGTCTTCGAAGATGTTTTTGTAAACTACCTCTCCTCCAAAAACAAAAGTATCGCTATCTTCTGTTACGATGCCATCTACGAGCCCCAATTTTTCCAGTTCGACACATTGGGCTTCGGCTTCGGCCGGAGCAACAACRTAGGGAACCCCAAACAGGCGCAGGAGCTGCATTACCTCGGCCCGCATTTCGTCTGTTATACCTGTGTTTGTTGGATCCATCATCTGATCCGATTGAATGGCTTCTTTGGGCGCTATCGAGAAGTCTGTTGCTGGAGATATTGTCTGATCAAAYTGCTTCAACCAATCAGAATTGTCGATCTTGTTGTTTCGAGTATTCCTATCGAGTGGATGATTTTTCTTTGATTCCGATCGCTCCCGAGTTCTTCCTTGTGTGGAGTGAATATCAGATTCAACTTTATTCAAASTCAATGCATCTTYATCTGTGTCACTTGCTTTGCTGTTCAACACRCATGGTTTTGCTGACTTGGGGATCTCCATCCCATTTTCGAGGGCATGCTGCGCGATTGCTCTTCGAAAAGCTCTCCCAGCCCAATTCGTAAGATTGGCTGCCGTTCCTTGTGCGTGCTCTAATGCTGCTGCTATTTCGTCCGAAGATTTGGTCTTTGTGGATCCCCAGTCATCCGCACCAATCATAATAKTGCTTTCTTGCGTTGCTCCTGCTTCCCAATCAATCTGATCGTCGTCATCATCGTCCACATCTACCACTTTGGTTTCGATAGATGCTGTTGTGGTTTCGTTTTCGAAATATTTGCTGGCTTTCACCAGTGTCGGACTCTGTAGGTTGTCTGAGATTTGCAGGGACTTGTCTTCTAGTTCGGTCATCACCTTTTTATCAGTAAAARAATCGCTTKTCTGCTCTTCTTCCCAATTCAYATCGTCTTCGTCAGAATTTTTGGTATTTCTGATAGCCGGAGTTTTGGACGATTCGGCTAACGTCATGGATGTTGATAGATCAATTGGTTCTTTTCCTTTCTCATTGATATTACTGTTCCCGTCTTCCCAAACTATAAGATCATCATCATCATCATCATCATCATCGCCATCATCATTTTCATTTGCATCTTCTCCTTCACAATCATCACTATTCTTCTCAAGGACGTCCCTTTTTTTGTTCTCTAGTAATTCGACTCGCTTGTGCACCAATATTTTCGAATMCAATGCTTCGACTGCTGTGGGATCGAGTTGCTTCATTGACGACCGAARATCGTTGTCGCCCTCTTTCCAATCCATTGCACCGTTGTTGTCGYTCTCGTCAATGGTGACAAAAGCATCCAAGTCAATCGGATTTTTCTGGTTTTCCCCTGTAGTCYCTCCTCGYTCCAACMTTATTTCGGTGTTCTCGGTTTCGGCATTGTTGTCATTTCCTCGATGACCACTCTCATCCTCATCATCAAGSTTGTCAACACTCAGAGAAATCTTGTTTTTGGTTCTGCAAGTCATCGGTAGAGAAGGTTTGTTATCTTTGGTGTCCTTTCTTTGGTTAATGGTGTTAGTGTTGCCATCTTCCCAATCGATGGTGTCATTGTCATTCTCATCACCATCGTCGTCGCCGTCGTCACCAACGCAATCTTTGTTCGAGAAAGAGGGACGTATTCCAATTTCCACTCCCGTGGATTTTGTGGAAGTCATTTGCGCTGGGATCTTGCTGCTGTCGGTTTCACCAAGGCCAAGAGTCTCCTTATTGTTTGTTTTGTCGTTTCCGTCTTCCCAATCTACCTCTTCGTCGTCTTCCGAGGACGAATTGCACACGAGAAGCTCCGCGATCAAGGGTTGGCTTGCTTTTCGTTCCTGGCTGATGGCAACCGTTTCTTTTTCTTGGCTATTTTGTGCAGTCTGATAAACCCTTGTTTCAGATTTATTGCTTTGGTGGTTGCTATTGCTATTACCGTCGCCGTCTTCCCAGTCCACATTCTCACCATCGTCGTCCTCATCCGACGATGAATGGCACACGAGAAGCTCCGGCCGGGGTGCTTTCCCTTGCTCACTGATTGGARATGWTTCTTTGGCTTGGCTTTTTGGTCCAGCGCGGTGGTCTCTTATTGCGAATCCAATGCTTTCGGGGTTGCCKTCGCCGTCTTCCCAGTCCACGTTCTCGTTCTCGTMGTCGTCRTCATCCGAYGACGAATTGCAGACGAGGAGCTCCCCAACCGACGGCTTGGTTGATTTCCTTGGTTGCTGGCTCATCGAGAAGATGCCGTGCGACGACGCGTTTGCTCCACACGAAAAGACATTCGAGCCAAGCGGGGTTTCCTCCAGCTCGGTAAGGAGCGAATCTCGGTTCGTGGCTACGCCCGCGGATAGCGATAGTGCTGGTTGTTCCCGCCGAGACGATGGCGTTTTGAATTCCCGGCCTTGTTCTTCCACCAAGAACCCACCACCACCACCACCACCACTGTCTTCCTCCCGGTCGGTCTTCTCTCTCTCGTCGCGTTCGCCCCGTCCCGTCTCGGGCCCGGATTCCGAAAACGCCGCGGGCTTCCCCTCGCCGCCTCCGCCCGCTTCGTCCTCCACGGGCAAAAAGCCCCCCCCTCCACCCCATGGTTCGTCTCGSTCGTACTCYGCCGCCTGGAGATCCCGGGCAAGGATGGCGTCGTCTCGTTCCCGCTYGGCCCTTCCCGGAACGGACGCAGGCGTTGGYAGGAATCCACCGCCCCCGGGCTCGCTCTCSCTGTCGCTTTCGCTGCCGTCGAGGATTTCGATGCAGTCCCCGTGGCCGGCTGGCTCCCCGCGGAGATGCTTCCGATTCCACARCGGGTGCGGGTTCTCGGAGGGGTCTTCCCCGTCCTCGATCGCTTGCAGGGCCCGGGCCAGGGCCTCGTCTTGCGATTCCTGGGCGGCCTTTTGCGAGGCCGCGCTCGGGGAACGGCCGCCACCAAATCCCCMGGGTGCGCTGYCGCCTCCGCCTTCGCTGCCRCYATCGAGTTCGGTGGCCCCGCTACCGTCGTCGTCGTCGTCGTCGTCGCCTTGGCTCTCGTTTTCCCGCCCGCGCCCGAGCAGAGGTCTGGAACCGTCCGCAATGGGAACCCCGAATCCACCGCCCCMGTCCTCGAGGGTGGCGGCGATCGTTGGGGGTTCCACCCCGTTCTTCGCCGTGTTGTCGACTCCGACTTCGACGTCGTTCTGGTTGTCGGGGTTGTTCCGGTCGCCGGTTTCGAACCGAATCCCACCCGCCAGGTAGTGGTTGTTCCTGGCCTTGTGAAAGTCGTGTTCGTCGTCGCTGTGGCCGCTTTCCGTCGCTCGCGACCCCTTGAARGGAAACATGCGCATCCTGCTCGGGGTTTGTCTCCTCCCGGACGGTACTCCGTGGTCCCGATAGTGCCTGCGGCGGCGGTGTCCACCAGCCGGTTCTTGGGGGCCGGCGCAGGCCCCCTCCTTTTCGAAGAGGATCCCGTTCCCCCGGGCCATCTTGGCCTCCTCCTCGGCCCTCTTGGTGGCCGCCCTCGCCATCTCCGCAATGTCCTTCTTGAGACGGGTCGACTTGAGAAAGTTCCGGATCTGGCAGCCCGAGAGCTCCTCCGGGTTGGAGGCGACCCCCAGGAACTCCCGGCGGGAGGCCATCCTCCGCTCCCGCTGGACGTCCTCGATGATCCCCCGGCGGGCGCTCTCGGGGAGGCCCGCCACCGAATCGACCCTGAAGCCGGTCCCGTCCCCGTCGTGGAAGCGCGACGAATCGTAGACCGGCTCCGTTTGCTTTCCCCGTTTCCGGGGGTAGGGCCGGCGGCGGCCGCGGCGGGTGTCTTCGACGGACGGTCGAAATTCGTCGTCGCTGTTCTCGAATTCGTTGTTCTTGTTGTCGTTCTTGTTGTTGTTGTTGTTGTTGTTGTTTTCATCGTCCCCGTCGCTGTGAACCACAATGGCCGCATCGAAATCGTTGACCGCTTCTTGGAACCGATTGTTGGAAGTATAATCGTCTTGTAGCAAGTGGTCGTCGTCGTCGTCATTTTCGTTGTTGTTGTTGTTGTCGGGTTGGAGGTGTTTATTCGTGGCATCCTCGGCCGCCGCGGCATCCGGATCGTAAAACCCGGTAGCGTAGGAGGTTTTGGATGCCCCCGCGGTCTTTTGTCGCTTGCGTTGATGTTGTTGCTGTTCTTGGTGATTGTTGTTGTTGCTGTTGCTGCTACTGCTGCTGCTGCTGCTGCTGTTGTTGTTGGTTGCCGCGTCTGCCTTGCCCACCGCCCTGTTTTTCTTGGTCGTCGAGAGCTCCCCGCTCCGGAGCTGCCTCGCGAGGATCCGCTTGGCCATGCGRCGGGTGGCCTCCCTCCACTCGTCGTCGCCGTCGCTGGCGTTGCCGTYGCCGCTTTTGCCGCTGCCTTCCCTCGGAAACAGGGMGCGGTGGTCCTCCCCAAAGCCGCGCCTGCGCTTCCTTCTGGCCCGGTCCGCCAGCTCCCTCCTCTTGATCTCCGGGGTGGCCCCGTCGAAGACCAGGACGGGCCGGACGCCCTGGTACCGGAGCCGGCACAGCCGCCTCAGGAAGCCCACCAGGTAGTCGCACGAGTAGCAKGCGGCGTTCCGCCTCCCCCCGTGGGAGGCCGGGTCGTTCGGATCCCGCTGYCGGGCGGCCACCGTCAGGAACTGGGTCAGCCAGATGCTCGCGTCGATCGCCAGGAYCCGGCCCTCGAGGGTCTCGATCGAGATGCGCCGGCCGATGGGGAGGAGGAGCCTCCAGAGTCCCTTGACTCCCATGGCGGCTCTCCGCGTTAGGGGCTAGGGTATGTGCGGCCGGTACGGGTACTGCACGGATGGTATTGGTGTGGCAGAGAATGGGATGCTAGCGATGCAAAGGCATGGTATTGTTGGTGGTTGGTGGTTGGTTGTTAATTGTTACAGTAGTTGTTAGTTGTTGGTGGTTCTCTTCGATGTTGTGCGAGAGTGGATGGAACTTTCGACGGAAACAGAAACAGACATCGCCGAAGGGAAGGGATGGGGAGGAAAGGGGTAGAAAGGATTTCGAGGGATCGATTTGATTCCTTCGACCAGGATCAATACCGCAGAAACACATACAGTACTACAGTACTGTACCATACATACATAGGAACTAATACACCACACGCACGGTTCTCCTTTTTTTTTGTCACTTACAGTATCACGGTTTTGCCTACCGTGCACGTCTGGAAATCACGACTGACTGTCTCTGACTCGACCGATATCTTTCCGGCGCTTTGCTTGTTTCATTTATGTACCTGCACCACACACCGTCGACGTCAGATTGTCGTTCTTGCCGAAAACTCCATCCGAACAAAGCGCGAGTACCGTACGAACCGTACTGGTACCGTACCAGAGGGGATAGTACACAGAACGCGATCGATCGGTACGTAGAACTCGTACGTGCCGGCGAATTCAAACCATCGTGTCGTCACAAAAAATGATAGCTGTACGGTACAGTATTGTACTACCGGTACACTTCTTACAGAACAAATGTACCAGCAAAACCGTAGATGCTAGTTTACACGTACGAGTCGAAAACCCATGCCCATACCAATAATAATACTCATACCGGTACGAGTACCCTCGCCGCGGCAGCTTGAATTCTTCGGCGATCCTTCTGTTTCCGACGAGGTGTTGTGTTGTGCTGGGCTACAGAATCGATTCCAATAGCTGCCCACCCGACATCAGATCATYCCATTCTCCCTTTGCTGTAGCGCCACTATCGTACCGGTACTCGCAATCTCCTTCTAGCAAGAGGGGCAGATTTGTACAGAAATTGCCTTGCCTCCGCGACACGACAAGACACAACACAACACATAACACACAGCACACATCACACGACACACATCGCACAACCATGGCCAGAACGAACCACACAACCCACAGCGGGCCCCTGTGCCTCTTCCTTTTGGCCGGCTGGTCCGCGGTGATGCTGGCGAGGTGCCCGGATGCACTCGTACTTGCCTTTCGGGCACCAACACCGGCGAACGCGGGACGGATCCATCGGCGGGTCGGGCCTGCCACCCATCCGGTGTGCAGCCGCCACCACCACCGGACACCGTCCCAAGCCTTGTTCGCCTTTACGGAGGAGGCCACGAACCAGCCGCCGGAAGACCCCGCCGTCAACGGGTCCGTCAACGGATCGGCGGCGAACAAAGGCGGCGGGAGCAGCACCACCACGGATCATAAGATTGCCCGCAGGCGCAAGCGCGACCGGCTGCTGCGGTCCCTGCCCCTCAAGGGGGACGATCTCGACCGGACCATCCTCAAGACGTGCATCCCGACGGTCATGAACCTCATGGTCGTCCCCCTCGTCAACTCCGTCGACACCTTCTGGGTGGGCCGCCTCGGCGTGGCCATGGCCCTGGCGGGGCAGTCGGCGGCCAACCAGGCCTGCTTCACCCTCTTCTTCCTCATTGCCTTTCTCCCCAACATGACGGCCCCGCTGGTCTCGGAGGCCATCAGCTCGGGAGACGACAAGGCGGCCCGGGAGCGCGTCTGCGAGAGCCTCTTTCTCTCCAATCTRCTGGGGGCCATCGGGACCCTCGGGCTGGTGGCCTTTCCCCGCCAGATCCTCACGGCCCTCCTCCTACCGGCCGACAGCCCGGTACTGGCCTACGCGGCGCCCTACCTCCGGTGGAGGGCCCTGGGGATGGTCCCGAGCCTCGTCGCCGCCACCGGATCGGCCGCCTACCGCGGCCTCCTCGACACGGTCACCCCGCTCAAGGTCAGCCTCCTGACGAACGGGGTCAACCTGCTCCTGGACCCCCTGCTGATCTTTGGCGCGGGCCGGGCGAAAGGCCTGGGCTTTGTCGGGGCCGCAATGGCCACGGCGGCCTCGGAAACCCTCGGCGGGGCCGTCTACATWMGGCTCCTCCTCAAGAGGGGACTGGCCAGGGCKAGGCTCCTCTTGCGGCCCCCACCGATGGCGTCCCTGCTGCCCCTGCTGACCGGGGGGGCCGCGATGCTCCTCCGGCAGCTCGCCCTCAACGTGAGCTTTCTGGTGGCCACCCGCCGGGCCTCGGTCCTGGATTCCACCGGGGTGGCCGGGGCCGCCTACGGGATCACCATGCAGATCTACTCGGTCGGGATCATCGCGCTGGTGGGGATGCAGGGGGCCGCCGCGGCCCTGGTTCCGTCCTTCCGTGGCGCCAAGGAAGTGGCCGACCCCTCCGAACGGGACCAGAACGCCCGGAACGCCGCCGATCGCCTGCTGGGGTGGTCCAGCCTGGCCGGCCTCTTGCTGGGGATCGGCCAGACCCTCCTGCTGCCGGTTCTRGTCCCCCTCTTCTCGACCCTGCCGGAGGTCCGGGAGGCGGTCAAGACCCCYTCGCTCATTGCCTCGCTGATCCACGTGGTCAACGGGCCGGTCCTGGCCGGGGAGGGCATCATGATGGGGGTCGGGGCCTACAGGGCCCTCGCCACCGTCACCATGGGGTACGTGGTGAGCATGTTCGGCTGCCTGACCTTTACGCCGCTGGGGAAGCGCCTCGACGGGATCATGTGGAGCATCCTGGTCGCGAGCCTCGTCCAGCAGATCGGCGTCGTGGGGCACTACCTCCGGGTCGGGCCACTGGCCGTCGCGAGGAAACCGAAGACAGACCCACCACCCATGCAAGGCTCCGGGGGTGGCGACGACGGCGGCGGCGGCGGGGAAGCGCCCCGGCAAACCCGTGTCCCCCTCTGAGCGGGCTTCGAGCAGACGCTCCGGTGTGATCCGGTGACTTTCAACGCAATGCGACTGCCTGCCGAACAAACGAGGCGAACCCTTCCAAACACACACAAACCAAAACMCACACCCGCACATGGACTTGSAAGCCACAAAAAAGGCCGAAGCGACAGTATTTTGTGGCTTCGCCGCCAGCAGGAACCGAGGCTACGTCAAAMAATGCATCGGGAAATGGGAGAGATGCCAGCGATTCCAAATTCCGTTTCCTTGGTGTATAATGACCACACATTCATTTTCGTTCCACTTCGATCGATTTCTTGAACTACGAAAACCAAGCCATCGAGTTTCGCTTCTATTTCTACGATTCTTAAAAAATTTCGTAATTTCTCAATTAAAAAATAGTTGTATAATACATTGTACATAATAGTGCCTGCRCAACGATGGATTGATTTGTATGTCCCCTGTATTGTTCGTGTCCGTATGGCTTGTTTCGTKTCACCGCAAATAAAATGCATTTTRGATCCATCATTGCGCGAGTTGCTYCTCCCTTTTTTGGTACCGCGTTTTCAAAATACATGTYCGAATGRCTCTGTGTCGTTGTTGTTGTTGTCGWTTTTTGCCTCGTCTTGTCGTGTGTGGCATCGCCGTGGTATTCGTTCCGTCCGCGCCTAGCGGTCTGGAGTCACGGGAGCGGCATTGTAGAATTGATCACCAAGGTACTCCTCCGCGGTAGCGCTATTCGTATTGGAACCGTACGGGGACGACGCTTCGTCGGTCTCGTCACCCCAAAAGTAGCTAAAGACRCTCGATGCCGTTTCCGTCCATTCGCTGTTCCATACGTACCCKACCATGCTCCCGGCGGTCGTAAAGACGAGTCCCGCCACGAGTGTCGGCAAGAGACCGGCGAGCATCGACGTCGCTGGCACCACGGCATTCTCTTCCTCCGCAATTGCAGCAGCATTCATGGCCTCGAACGAGGACCCGCCCGTGGCTTCCATTCGGACCGGAGGTTTGTTGCGGTTCGGTCCACCCCTTGTGGACGTAACTTTTGCGGATGCATTGGTGCTACGGAGTGGGGCCGATTTCGTGGCGGGCTTCGGTTTGTTGTTGGTTGGTGATTGTTGCCTGCTGGGAGTAGGTTCTGCTGGTTGTTCTTTCGCATCCGAGCCACCTTCTGGTGAGCTTGTCATGGCCGTTGAAAGCGAATCGTAAATCTGGGAAATTGTTGGTGGCGGGGATGATTCTTCTTCGAGAATCGCAGCTTCGTTTTTCGTTTGCACAAGCTGCAGAACACCAATAAACCATCCGAGGGCAGCATTAATGGCGCGTCTCCATTGCGTTTTTGTGAAATTAAACAGCAAGC